AAAAAATTACGAAAAAAAAAAAAAAAAAAAAAAGAAAGTGGTTGCAACGATCGAGTGTATCGGAACGGAAAGAATTTCCATTTTAATCGATAATCGATCGGCAAAGATGTATGTTCTTCGGAATCTAAACGTTTCTATTTTTAAGCTAATGTTATTAGCGAAATTTGACGAATCATTGCCAATAAATTCTCTTAGGTAACAATAATTATTCTCTTACGTAACGTACGTTCGACTAATAAGGCAAGTTCTAGAAGCAAATTTTATAAATTATTGGATAACCGATTTTCCTGTTCCGTGTCAAATTGTAAAATTGTAAAAGCTGCTTGCGTAACGGTCATCCATAATCTACGGCTCGTGGCTTGTCAATTCGCCAATGTTATTAGCTAGTAAATTATCGCGCAAAATAATCCGGATAATTCTAACGAAATTATCGAACGACGTATGATAAACGCAACGCGATCAAATTTTCTTACGATCCCTCTAAATGCTAAATGTTAAAAGCAGCGCGCCTTTACTTTCTTACGCCTTGCAGAAACGAATGCCGCCTGAATATAAATTCTAAATACCTTGACTCATAGAAGGGAAGATGTTCCGTCAAATCCATTATAAGACGAAGAAGATAAATGGATAACGTCTAAACGCGTTGAAATTCATCGAGTGATGCAGCTTCGTACGAACGCGAGAAACGACACGATACAGAAATTGTGGATGGAACAAAAGGAAATGAGGTAGACTGCAACGATTCGCGTTGCACGTTGTATCTGAAATTTCCTTCTCAGGCGAAATTCCCAATGCAATTTCTCGTTGAACCGCGAACACGAACAGCCGAACGTCGGGCGGAAAATCTTGCAATTTTCTATCAGCCACCCTTTATCGGCCATCGAGGAAGCATAACGCGCGACTCGTTGGAACAAAGTCAAAGCCGAGCTCGTTTCACACTGGACTGCGAGAGAAAACGAATCGTTGTATACCCGTACACGTTTCGAATCTTCAAATTTATCGTTATTTATGGAAGTTTATCGCGATATAACGTTCCAATTGAAATTTCTATTCGCCGATAACGTTTACGCGATTCTCGTATGGCCGCGTCCGAAAAATTTCGTCCTACCTCCCTCTATCCACCTGTACGCGCGTAAACGCAAATTTCCGCCCACTCGAACGTTTCCCAGAGATTAGACCGGGCCGTATTTGCTCTCGCGTTTCTCGTCCATCCTTTTCCCTTTAACCCAGTTTATCTATCCGCCATTATCGCTTGCATCCCTCTCAATCAAAGATCCTCCGTATCCCTGTGAAACTATCCGTTGCCTCTTTTTGCTTTTGTCACGATCTATCCTCTGCCCCTTTCCATATCATCGATTTTATCTAACTGTGTGTTCCTTCGTCCCTCTCTTTCTCTCTGTCATCTCGAAATCCCCATGCACGAATACGACTCTCTTCTTCTAACTAGCGGTTTGATCACCTCCGTCGATGCCATTGAAAGCCCTGCAACACGTTATGTCTAAACGCCAGTGAATAAAAGCTCGAAGCCAGCGAAGTGAGTATGTATACGCTTCGTCACTTCTAATTTTAGCACAAAGGGTGCGGCGATTCTGTGTGTACACGTTTTTGCGCGTGAACGTGTGCGCTCGTGCACCGCCTCCTGTTCCATCGTAAAACACGTACACACACCGATAGTTGGAAGACGATTGTGTCCGTCCAAGTTGTGTGTGCCATATCGAAGGGGTAGAATATCTACCTATGGATTTCCACTAGCTCGATGGCGTTCGCCAGGCCATTTTTATAGAGTCCTCTTCGATCACTTTCTCGTTCTTTCTTTTTCTTTTATAGCTTTCTCTCCCTCTCTCTCTCTCTCTCTCTTTCTCTCTTTCTCTTTGCCCCGGCTTTGCCTTCTTGCCAACGAGCAGCCTAGACCGGCGGTTCGATCGAAATACGATTTCCGTCTCGCTGCGTATTGGCGGAACGCGGGCACAGTTTAGTTATCAGGACCAAATTGGACTTTGGCGAGATAGGACGAGCCGAAGAGCACCGAAATGCAAGCGACTACCTATTAGCCGGGTTAACGCGGTGTTAAAGCGAACGCGCCAGATATAAAAGCGCCATCGCCAGATCGTTTTTTAATGTATCGCGAAAAGCGAACCGTCCATTGTCTCCGGTAACAAAGCCGAGTTTGCTTAATCCCGACGTCCTTCGTAGTTCCCTGCGAATTTTTTCTTTGAACGCGGCCGTTCCCGTTGCCAAACGTGTAGGTGTCTGGAAAACAAGAATATCGGAATTTTTCGTAAAGAGAAAAACGCGTGATAAAATTCCGTTGGTTTAATTGTTTCGTCGTTAACGTTTTACCTTTCGCGAAACGGAATCGATAGCGTTGGTATCACATCGAAATTAATTCGTGAATTCCATCCATTGCTTCCGCCAAGAAGAAACATCTTCCTCCGTGAAAAAGCATTCCCCTTAGCTGTCACTGAAACAGCGATCGTAAGATCTCGAACTTCTTCCCCGGAAGCTGCAAATTATTCAGGACGGTAGATTCACTTTGATGCTGGGACGGTTCATTTTGAAGCTCGCTTTGCATTCCTATCGAACAGAAGGTAAGGGTGTTGAATACGTTTGTCGAAATAAGCGTCTGCTTACTCGATTCGCCGTCCCTGACCCAGAATACCTGGAAAGCTTATCAGAGATAAGTAGCTTTTAAAACAATTTCCTTGCCCCCTTCAAACTTGCCATTTCCACAAAGCGTTTAACGTTTAACGTCGGCATCTGTTCAGTAACGATGTTCGGCAAATTACGAAACTTTTATAGCGGTAAGATCAGATGGAAATTTTCTAGATTAGCAAAATATTTAACCAAAAAGTTTCCAAATTTACGATCGTATTATCTACCCAACGTACCGACCATGTACGCTCGTCTTACGTTCTTCTTCGTCCTTATACCGTTTCAGCAGCCACGACCGAAACATCCAGTTAACAAAGTCACGTATCTATGAGAAATGGCGATTAACGAGCTCGACCTTCCGCGTGCTTCTTTCATCTTGCCGAACGCTTGTCACGATAGCTTCTCGTTTCTCGTTGCCGCATCGTGATAGCACACGGCGTATCGCCATTCACGGTCTCGCGGAGTGCGGAGGATTTCCGAGTGGTCTGAAAGGGGCTACGTGAACGAAGAAGCACAAGAGCGAGTTTCATTTTCCTTTGACACGATGTAACGCCATCAACAAGTGCCGCTATCCCGCAGTATTCTTGTTCTCACGCCGCAGTTGCTACTCATCACGTGGGAGTGATAATATCCGCGGACACGCGTATTCCGAGGGTTTGACTTCTTAAGCGACAGCTTACGAATGCTTTTTATCCGGAATACCGTTAGAGTTAGTCTCGTTGTTCGCTTCTTTTCTGATTTATGCGGTATCTGACGCGGTATTTACACTGGAAATCTGTAAACGACAGATTAATCGGTATAACGCGTTATGAGATAAAGAGGCTTAAATGGAATATTCGCGTTATCAAGAAGCGTTTACGGCGCAACGGGGTAATTTATACATTTTCCCACGCAGAATTATCGCCGTGACATTTCCTGGCTAAAATACGAACGATCATAAAATTCCGCTACGATCATGGCTGCTTGCTCTTTTCCCGATAATGCGAATCGAGAATGATATCTCCCTGTTGTTTTACGAGGACGACATTCTCCAGGCTATTCTTATAAGAAATTCTGTTTGCCCGCTATCGTTCGCCGAGCGAATGGAAAGGTCTTTCCTCTTTATGTTGTCGCGCAAAAGAATATATATTTACCGAGAAAAACAAGATCGTAAGCGAACACCTTACTCCTTTTGAAGAATTAAAAGCAATGTTATAAATCCTTCGACGTTACGTATCGCGTATATTCTTATAATATGACTTCTTGCAAAGAAATATTTCCTTTCTTCGCGCAAAAGGTAATTTCGCAACTTGTCTACTCTTGAGAAATATCGAAGAATATTTAGAATATCGAATACATATACAGGGTGGTTGGTAACTGGTGATACAAGCGGAAAGGGGATGATTCTGCGCGAAAGAAGATGTCGAAAATATAGAATAAAAATTCTTTTTTAATTCTTTTTTTCTTTTTTAATTTTTCCATCGAGACAATGATCTACAGTGAGACCGAAACGACTCAAACGAAAAATTTTTATTCTATATTTTCGACTTCTTTTTTCGCGTAGAATCACCCTCTTTCCGTTTGTACCACCAGTTAACAACCACCCTGTAGAATATAGAAAAACTGTACAACATACTACGTATGTAAAATAAACTATATAGGAGCCGACCGTAAATCGGCCAGCAATTCGTTGTTTCCTGATTATTCCTGTAATCATAATCATCGTCGTCGAGATAATTTCTCTTTGTGTAAATAGTTAGGAGGAATTTGGAGATGCGAAAATGATGTTACTCAGCCAGCTTTTGTTTCGTCTGTTTATTGGCTCGTTTGATATAAAAGCGATGGGTACGTGGAAAGGAAATCGTATTTATAATAGCAGGCGGAAGTTTTTGAATGGAAGAAGTGAGAAAATGAGATTCGGGTTTTCCCCGTTTAGTTGATGCGCCATTAATCACCGCTCGACTTCTAAATTATGGAAACACTTATTTTCCCAATATACCGATCTTCATGTAGTACGTACATGATGATTCTCGTTTCAACAATTTCTACCAATGGCCATCTGTGGCCTGATAACGCTAAATGGTAAAAAACTAAACTTTCGTTGCAACAGATGAAACTCGTATAAATAAAAAAAAGTTTTACAATATAATCCTACCGAACCGGTATAAACTATAAAGCACAAACACATGTATATTGCCAGTATCATTCGCGTTGTATGTCGTACCTAATAGCTTTCGTTGTACCAAATTTCATTTGTCCGAAGAAGCTTGAACCAACGACGATCGTACACTTGCTCTATACTGGTAACTTTATTTTAAGTTAGCAATTAATTTCAATTTGTCCGATGACGAAGCGCCATCGTGTCGCTGTCACGGAGAGAGGGTTTTAAGAAAACAAATTCCAAGCGAATAGACTAGACTTGCCCAATAAATACTTATACAGGCGGCGTACACGTGTACATATATGTTCAGGCAAAGGATAGACATTAACATTGAACGTTGCAGAGTACAGACAAATGGCGAACAACGGCCTTCATGGTATCTAATTTCATTTCCTCCGACGATTTCTCGTAATGACAGTTCTCTCTCTCTCTTTCTCTCTCTCTCTCTCTCTCATACGATTTCCTTCGTCGTATTACGAATGGCGCGTGGATCCAAGTAAATCGGTTGTCTCTTTGATCGCGCCACGAAGAAGAAAAATAAGAGGAATTATCGAAATCGGATGATCGACGACGTTTCATATCACTCGTTTGAAAAAAGTAGGCTCGTCGTTCGTCTCGTCGAAGCTTGTTAAAATCAGATTAATTCCATTTATAGGCTTCTACGCTATTCGTGAAGTCGTGGTTATTTAACTCACGAACGCATAGTCGCACACGTGCGTGTGTTTCTCAAATATAGAATGTCGGTGACTGGAAACTCGGCTTATTAATATATTTCGCGTGATTTCTTTTATACGAGTGTAAATTTCGAAAAAAGCGTTTTCGAGAAACGAATGTTACGCTCGAGGTAGATCCATTTCGCAATGTTATACTCGGTGCGATCTACTATCCTTAACATTAACCTTCGTTTCACGAAGCTCGAAGGTTCTCGAGCCCCTCTTTATCATCGAGCAAATTCTTCTGCGTACACATGGGATGCACTTGCGTGACATTTCAAGCGTACACGCACACGAGGGCGAGATAAATATATTCGCACGAGCCAAGCGAACCGAACTTACATTTTCAACGCAAAAGACAGTTGACGTAAATCGAATCTTATCCCCTTCGACTTTCTTTCTTCTGTTCTCCGGTCATATGGAAATATCCGGGGAATCTAGTATCTTGGGCCTTCTTTTCCCCACTTTGTAAATTATACAGCGGATATTGAAAGATCAGAGAATCTTTATATTCTACTCTTAAACTATAACAATGATCTCGAAGCATTGACGACTCTTCTCCTCTCTCCTTCTTGTTATAAACTAAAGCAAATTTTTATCACACTCGCAGATATAACGCGAATATCTAAAAATTGTAAAATAATCGCGAATAATATAAAAGATCAGATTCGCAACGAACTCTGAAAAAATATTAATTTCTCGAGGAAACACCGCAAAATTATTGTAAAGGAAAAATTAGGTCAGCGCCGTGGAAGCTCGTAATGAGTTTGCCAAAGAAATTGGTTTCCCCGTAAAAAAAGAACGCAATAAATAAATCGCGTAATAAATAAAAAGGAATTGAATATCGTTGAAATACTTGCGAAAATAATCGCCGGCTATTCTAAATTGCCCTCTATCGCTAAAGTTATACCATGGAACGTCACGAAGACAAGGATTACGTCGCTAAAGAAAAGCATAAGCGCCGGCAAAGTAAATTAGGGCAGGAGATTGAACTTCGAGGAAGTCTGGATTAAGGGAGATAAAATTACACTTTCCCAAAGGAAAAAAATACCGGTATTCTCGCTTGAAATTATATTTCATTTACCTTCAAAGAAAAAACTACCAACTTTGCATTTTATAATTACATCATTGTACAAGTAAATTTCCAAGCGAAAATAACCAACATGAAATTTAATAATAATTTAATTCTCATTTATCAGTTTTACTTTTTACGAACGTAAATATAACGTGACGTACTTGCGCGTAACAGCGATATAAAAATCGAATGAAAATGATGAATCGCTGAATAAAAAAATCACCTCAATTTCTAGATATTGGTAAGACGAAAGAATAACGAGTAGACGCGATTCGTCTTTTCCGATCATCCCTTATAATTTTCTTCTAATTTAGAGCAATTGTGTGTGTACAAAAATTTGTCGCGCCATCGAGATGCTGGAAATTTATATTTTCGATGCTTGAATTCGTTTACCTTTTACGATGGGCCATATCTTTCCACGTATTTCCTTCCACGAGGAAATCATAGAGGTACTCGTCGAGACAATACGAACTTCTCACAGAGTCGTTACATTTTCCTCGAGTCGTTGTACTCTACAACTTTACTATCGCCTTTCTCATCCCTGAAACACGTAGCGCAGAACACAGTCGTATTGGAAAATAACAAAACGTCGATGGGACACCGGCGGTCGATTTGCAACGTAAAATTGAACATTATTTTGCCCTACAAGAATTAATTTTCGTGGCTGCGTGTTACGTGTAAACGCAAGATGAATCGAAAAGGAAAGGTTCAAAGTTCAAATATCTTCACGTATTTTATTTTAATACGTTTTGTCTCCTTCCATAAAATCGCTCGACAAATGTGTTTGTATTGTTGGTAACTGCTAAAAAAAAAAAAAAAGAAAGGAATTTAACTTAAAAGGGTTCGAAAAAAAATTGTCGACGCGAGATAAAATTAATTCCACCATAACGGTAATAATTTTATCGTAGATAAGGCTCGATGAATATCGTCGTGAATAATTCAACGGCTTAATTACGGCTAGAAATATCTTGTACAACTTCCTTTAATTCGCTGATTATCCCTGAGAAAATATTTTGGTATAAATTAATCGGTAATGAAGCATCGTTATTTCACTCGTCCATAGACCAAGACCGATTAACTCGTTTCTATCCGCGTAAAAAGTATCGCAAGTTATGAATAAATAATTTTCTCCGTCATCGTTGACTTATAAACGAGCTTTAACAGTTTGCCAAGTTTTAAACAATAATTGTTTCGATAGCAACGTTCAATAAGATTACAATAACGATACGGCTATAGATATTGAAATTAAAGCGGAATATTAAATCCGATAATGATCTATATAGTAATATTCTTCCGTGAAAGCCGTTCAATCTATTGGAAAATGTACTCTAATTAAAATCTATGTTTCATTACAGCTTCGATTCAGATATAGAAGAACAACATACTAATAAACATTGATGGACGTAAACGTGTCGTATTTAGTTTGCATACCATTTACGTCAATTAGATGCCGTTTGCGTATCGCATTTCGAGACACATCGGGTGTATTAACGAAATTGTTTTTTCCATTAAATCTGCTTTTACGTAAGAACGATTAATACTTGGCGACTAATATATATATATATTTCTTTCAAATTCATCCATCTCCGACAAACTGATTCATCGATACCACGATTACGAAAAATCTGGAAGACCTTACCATTTATCATTTTATCGTCCTAACGGGTCTTCTAACGTATCCATAAGTTTCTCAAGGCAAGAACGTTTGAAGTTTGTTCGTTTCATGAAAATAACTTCTAAGGTGTGATATTCGATAAAAGCAGTAATGGTATGTAGCGAATATCCGATAATTTCTCTTCACGTTATTTTTGTTTTTAAAAGTCGTTGAATTACTAATAGAGAAATTATCTAGAAATCGTTTAGACGTGAAACAATGGATGGTCTTTTTGTATTTCTCTTTTATATCTTTATATCTTTAAATGAAAATTCTATAATACACTGACTGTACATGGCAATACCAATTAATCACTTCGAATATCATTTTATTCGATATACGCCAGATGCTCGGTACGTAGGACAGAAACAATCGATTCTATTTGATTAATTAAAACCGCAAGTAATTAATTTACATGAATAGAACGTTGAATTGCACTATATCGTTCTATTATAAACATGTATACTGTTAAAGAGTATGCTTAATTGGTTAATGGCAGATTAATCGTTCGATGATAAATATAACAACGTGCTTTATTTATTTGCCTTTATCGAATGTTATTAAATAACCGAACCGATATTTCTAGCGTTTAAACGACACATTAAAATTACGATTTACGATCGTTATCTCACGCGCATCTGCTTAATCTATTGCAAATACTCAAGAGTAAAGTTATACACGTTCTTCTACACGATTCACGTTAATTTCAAATTCTTAAAAATATTTCGATAATACTTCGATCACACTTATGTCGTCTCGACTAAAGGACTTAAAGATAGCAAACATCGATCCACTTCATAATTCCACTTTACAATTCGATAAAGGAAACGATAAAATATCCGTTAGACTACTTCGTAGGAATACTTAAGATAAACGATAAGAAAACATTTGCCAATAAGTATACAAATAATCATTTTACACACAAGTCTTACGATACTCTAGAAATTACTCGAATCGATAGCGTCGCTCTTATCAAACTCAGTCGACTAGTCGATAATTTATTAAAAATAGAAACACTGTACATCGTCGTAGTCGATGGTTGACAACAATCGCTGCAATTATTCGTTTTTTTTACGAAATAGGAAAAATTACAAATCGCTTTGTAGCAAGAAATCGCGAAAATTACACGAGATTAATAATTCAAAGGGGAGAACACATAATTTTATTCGCAACACGACGTATAGGGGATGAATTCTAAAAATAGAGGTCTATCGGTAAGGAGAATTCCAAGAGTCCAAGAGAGAATTTCAAAAGCGGTACGATAATATTTATTTTATTTCAGATCTACGTGATTTATGACACGGTCGAAAGAAAAGGTATTTTTCGAGAAAGATATTTTTCGCTTTTATCGCTCGTGCTTAACCGCTATCTACCTTAGAAAGGGTAATTATATAGATCTTATCGCGAAACGAGTAGGAAAATCAGCGAACAAGGGAATCTCTGTAAGCATCGCGACGAATCAACGTGTGCACGCATGTAACGTGTTTCCCATTTGCTGATCGACGACGTTGATTGACAGATAATGAAGATCGATATTTCGAGGCAGCCACGAAGATTCTGTTAGCGGCGTTTGTTCGTCGAACATCTCTCGCTGGGCTACACGGTGTTCGTCGTTTCTCGCGCGATCCACCTGTTTAATTAAACGACAGCAGCCGGCGAGCTCGGTTTCATTAAAAATTTAATAGTCGCGATTGCGAATCCATCGACGTATTCGGCTCGATGTAAATCGATCTTTAGCCGAGATACGCTGGGCCATACGGGTTACCGTGTCACTGCGAACGATAATGACGATACATTGGATGATCCGTGGCGAGCACCATAATACCAAATGCTATCTATGTTACTGATATGTATTTATTAAATTTAATGCCTATCGATACGTTCGCTGTTCCCGTGTTAAATATAAACTTCGATCGTGCGCCGGATTACCGCGTATCATCTGGAGCTTATTCAATAACGCGCCGTAAATTCGGATTGGCGGTAACGTAATTTAATAGCCTTGAAGCTCACGGAGTGGTATTTAGATCCGTGACAGTTTCTCGACGAGTCGAATCTCCGAATGATCGAAGACGATCTTCAAAGAGGCGGCGTTTGAAGGCGACAGCATTTCAAATATTCATGATTCTTCCTAAATAGCGAAGATCGTGTCGGTATCGAAGTTATTCTGGCGAATTACCAAAGACTTTAATAGCTAGGAATATCGGACAAAAGACGCGTTATTTCATTTGCAACGAATGCAGCCAACCTGCATCCTATAGCACGATCGATCCAAAAAAAAGATTGAAATTAAGAATTTAACGAAATTTTACAAATCACGAATAAATTGTCCTATTACTATGTGTCAGATAATCGTGCGAGGGCAAAATTCCACCAGCTTACGAACCAATCCGATACAAAGGAACAGAGATATGTAAAGAAACCTACGCGTGTACGTCGAACAAGCTGAGAAGGTTAAGGAAAGGAAAAAAGAAAGAACGAGCTGATTCTCGATTGTTCGCCTTAAAACCCGACCGTTCCTCGAGAAAAGTGATCGAAGGCAAGGTATTCTGCGTGGAGCGGGGCTACGACTTTACAGCTGGCACGAGGAATAGGGATAGCTGTGACACAGGACCAGGGGAGGTTTTGACGGTATTGATTTCCCAAGCCCGGGACCTCGTACCATCTGTAACTCAAACTGCTCCACTGAGATACCCTTACGTGCTCTAACCGAGCCGTATAAAATCGTACATGCAGCTAACTCTATATCTCGTTCGTTCCATCAACCATTTCGTCAACATTTTGCACCCGATTCTCGTCGGGGTATGCGCGATTTTACTGACGCGCTGTAGCAAGGCAGAAAAGGCGGAGGAAGAAAAATTTCTGACGAAAGTTTGAAAGGCAACAGGAGTCGATGGTACGTCTAAAAGGAAATTGGCAAGCTGCTCGACAGAAGTTGCGCAAGTTTTAACGAAATACATATCTGCTCGTGCAGAATGATGCAAACAAAAGGACGCGACTGCTTCATTTTACTTTGGTATTACATTAAAGTAGAAGAGCGTTGTCTAAAGTTTTTCATTTGAAAAGTAATTGCCACCCTTAATAGCCAATTTGTGAGTTTAAAAGGACTAGCCTTTAGAGATACAATTTATCAAGCATTCTGTCCTTTTTTATGTCCGAGTATCGCGGATGAAGAATAGATGGTGACACGATAGTGACGTGATAGATTAAAGCCATAGAGCTTGAATAGAGTTTAAAGGACAAATCTTTCTCGGAAAGTTACTTTTTATAAGAAACGGTAGATCGTGGCAATGAAAAATGCTTTCAAAGTGAAAGAAAATACCACTTGAAGTAATAGATTCGAATATCTTTGGGATACGCAAAGAAATCTATCCGGCCATAACTTTCCGGCATCGTGTAACGTTCGGGTCGAGAAGCTTTCCAAATTTTCCCATTATTTTACGCGAATATCAATTCCCCAATTTTCCTATCCTCCATATCTTTTCCTTTTTACGTATAAGATTGGCCAAAGGAGCTGTCTAAACTGGATTCATCCGGAACTAGTATTTATTCGTAAGTTGCAATTTATTTATTTAAGGAATAATTATAATATCCTTTCTATAACATTTACGTGAGTTTCCATTTCCATTTCCCTTTCAGATGGATTTAAACGGCGCAAGCCACGTATAAAGGAATCTTAGGAATAAGAAAATGTGTTACTACTTCGATCCACGCAATCTGACTGGCTTCGACGCATGTCGCCTACGCATCTTGTCGTTTCATCGTGGAAACAAAGGAAGCCCGGTTACCGGGTCAAAGGTGACAAACCACCAATTCAGAAAATTGCCCTGCTAATACATACATCCGCGTAAACCATACATAGTTCTATATTCACCCAAAGTGTTTCTAAAAATCTACTCTGTGAATACGAAGGAACGTAAGATAAAATTAAAATTAAACGAACATGAAAAACAGAAAGGAAGAGAAAGAGCAATTGGCGGTGAATACGCGTGTGCCTTAAATGCATACTGTCGATAATTCGATTAATAATTTCGCGTAATAATAATGCAAATGATATTCTGCCTCTTTTTTTTCTTTTTAGAGAAACATGTTCTCCGCTTTTGTCATTTTCAACATTCTTCTTGAATATACGCGAATATATCTCATACGCGATCTTTGAGATGTTTTCTTTAAAATCCTATCACGTACTATGTAATCGTGTTTTCGAAGAAAACCAAAGCTCGTCTTCCATGCGAGCGATGTTTTTAATTAGTTTTACTGCAACCCTAATCAACGACAAGAATTACTAATAAACATACGTTTCACGGCTGAATTATAAACAAGATGATAATTAACAACTTCGTTAAATTTGTCGAAGGCGAGCCTTGATTTTTAGCTTACTATTATTTGCGATATATTCGGTTCAAGACGATGCCCAGAAATATCGAGAATTTCGAATAGTCCTAATTCGGCGAATACCTGAACTGCTACGTTTGCCGACGATACGGCTGTATTAGCGTGCGATCGAAATTCGCGCGAAACTTCAAATAAACTGCAACAACGTCTCAACGAGATAGAATATTGGCTAAAAACACGAAGAACTGGAATCAATACTACGAAATCTACACGCGTGAAATTCATCGTAAAAAGCGAGCGTGCCCTCCAGTAAAATTAAATTACTATCACAGCTGCTATACTTTGACAAAAAATTATCATTGAAAAACGCAAGAAAATAGAGCGATTGAACGAACGGCAGAAAACTTTGGTGGTTGATCGACAAGAACTCACAGCTAAGAACAACGCTAACAACAAACTTGCAACAAACTGCGGACACGCAGAACTATTTTCAAGCCCGTGTGAAATATACTCCTGTCGATTAGGGGAGCACATCCGCGAATTCCGATAAAATCAATAGAAACATGACAAAACAAAAAATTGAGAGGCGTTTTGAAAACAGATCGGTACGTGCCGAACAAACAAACAAAGAAAGAAACCGGTAGACCCACCGTAAACTAAGAAATCAGCAGACACAACGGGTTATATCAACAACGGCTGAAAAATCGTCCCAACAATCTGGCTACGAAATTACTGGACACCACGGGAAAATAGGAAAAATTGAAGACACCTTTTACGTCTACCAAATAGATTTAACCACGTAAGCTGAGTAACATCACGACGATACGTCTCTGGATGTGTTTATATTCGAGTCGATTTAAGTCACCGACCTGTGCCGATTATCGTTGTACGATAGATCGCATATACGGAAATTATAACAATAAAAAGAAAAAGAAAATAAAGAATGGGATTGTAGATACGAGAAGAGAAGAGCGAAAAACTGATGATGGAGAACGCATGATGAAGGTAGATCGTCTTGCGAAGAAGCTTGACGCGGTAACGTTCGAACGGCGCATATATCCGTGGCGTTAAAAGGAGCCTCCTACCTTTTTACTTTATTTCCGTACGTAATCAATAGGCGTTCGATCGGGTCGGTACATTTCCGAAGTGGCGTCTCAACGTTCAGAGGAGCGCCTCGCCTCCTTTATCGAGGTTGTCGGCGTAGAAACGAGCGAGGAAAGGATACATATAGGGAGCGGGAGCAAGAGGGAAATTGGCAGAAGTGTGTAGACCACTACATCTTCTTCAAGAATCACAGATATCGTATATAAATAACCAACCGCTTATTTATCATGCTCTATCGAGAAAGGAACGGAAAAGAAGGGGTGGAGGCAAAAGGCCATTTTTATACGATCGGTATGGTACACTACCGCTCAAAGAACTCGTAGTCTGATGCTCCTGCTCATTTTTTATAGGATGCATATTTAATTACAAAATAGTTTGCAGTAATTTTGTTACGACGCGATAATATTAGCTTTTTAAAACTAATATGTTACACGGTAAAACTATATCAACTTGCATCGATGAATAAATAGTCGATGTAACTGAAGTTCGTATTAATTTCACTTACTACAATTCATCTATAGTTTACTTGGGGTACTTTTCTTCGAATAATAGAAACTTACCTTCAGAGACGAAAGAAAATTCGCTTTAATGAATGAAATTCTCGCTGCAAACAAAATCGATGCTCGGAATTTAAGGCCACAGTGATAAGATACGATAAGTTATATAGTTGGTTCTTCGTAGGGAAGCAATTTTTCAATCGAATATGCCGATAACTATTCTCGTGGTAGTAAAATTGTTTCTTTTGAAAATATCGCTTGTCATGATATTATTTAAGCCCTTAGCTTTTAATAAAAATTCGGAGATATAATACCCATCTTTACGAGGCCTCATATTTTTGCACATAATAGCTTCTTCCCCCTTTCCGGCGACCTGTTATGCCACATTAAAATACTCCCTCTTAGCTATCAAGTAACATAAAATCCGAAAATAAAGATGAATTTGCCATATTTTCGTCTTATGGCTTTCAATTTTCCCAAACCTTTTATCATTTAAAGAACCTTTTATCGTCGCCTTCTAGCACGATTGAACTAACATTGTTATCCTTCTTTTGCAAATAGCGATGAAAATGTAACGAAGCTTATATTTAGAACGATACTTAATTTTAATTCGTGAAATTGAAGCCTATTAAGCACGAGCTGCGTGTGAAGTTTCGACGTCCTTAATCTGGTACGTTGTTTAAACACCGAGTACCACGATACACTACATATATAACCACAACAAAATGACAAAAATAAAAAGATAATCAGGTAAAGTATAAAAATCGTTGTTCTCTGCGCCTGGTTTATTTACGCTGCTTCATACAGTTTTAATCACGTCGCATCCGATTATAGCGTTTATATGGTAAAGTAGCAGCGATTAGTATAAGTCAGCAAACAGACATACGTATGCATAAAGGACCTCTGTATCAACGTAAACGGAGAACATATGCCACATCCAACGATAAAAGAAATTAATATTTCGGTTAACATGTCGTAAACACGACGAAAATTACTTCTCGATCTATGTTCGTTATAAGATTTTGCTCTACTTGGAACAAATATCCTAAAGTTCGGACGGAGCTACTTCGTTGTGTTGTATTTTCGAAGAGGACAGATTGCCTCGGGGTAACTCCACGCTTCGATATTGATAAGTTTCCAAGTTCACTGGAAAGGTTATTGGGAGAAAAAGTGAATTATATTCGGAATCAGAGCATGTACAATACTATACAAAACGATTGGATGTTTCTAAAAGAAATTGACTAAGTTTGTTCGAATAGTCGTAAACCGTAATGTTCATCGTTGTCTTCTGAAACTGTTATATCGGGTGGAATAAATTCTAAGTACACGAAATTATTGCTACCTCCTTCTATCTCTCTCTCCCTCTCTCTCTCCTTCTCTCTACTCAGTCTATCCTCTATTAATAATATTTTCTATAATCAATGTAAAACATATTTACTCTGTTAAATGATGGCGAGCGAGCTCTATATATAACGAACCACTTGTTTATCGAACATTTCTAATAAAACCAACAATGTTAATATACGTGAAATTTTCATACTATTAATTCGAAATAATTGGCTTTATTAAATTGAGAAAATCAAAGAATTTATACGACAATTTATAGCGGACTCGAAGTAATTGTTATATTAGTATAATTAGAATATTCTTATGCTAATACGGAAAGAGATCTTGGAATATTTAAAAATCCAAACGCGTTGTATGTATAAATTAGTGATGTAATAAAAATATTACTTCATCAAACGGATGAGTCTTTCCATCAATGACTAATTTGATTTATTTTCCTTCGTTACTTCTTGACGGTATTCTCGATATTCCTCGTGTACGTAACTTTATCGAGAAATTTCATTGCGTATCTTTCGATCATCGAGCGCCGCGTTCGACGTTGTTGCGAGGGAGCGCGAAGAATCTTCTTCGAAACGAAATGAAAAGGGAAAATAACGCTCGGCGGGATAAATGTGAAAGTTCGAGTTTTATTTGCTATCAAGTTTTCGCGGAGGAATACGCGTTTATTAATAATACAACGCATTTTCCTTGAGAAGCGCAGGCATCGTTTATAAATAACCAACTTATTTGTCGTAGCCCAAGGAAAAAAGACAGGATCGCTATTGTGGTGTATTTTTAAAAAAAACGGCACACAAGGGGAGAGACTGGAAGTGGCTTTTTACAAAACGTCGGATACTACGGGCGATTTAGCATCGCTATGACAACGCAACAAAACGCCCCGTGAAAATTATGTTTTTCGTTGTTACGTCCATGAAACGATACGACGAATCAATCGGTTACTGCAAAAGATAACGATAATATAGATACGCAGCTCGGACTCGAATAACATTTGACTCAAAATTACAATTGAATTTTAGAGAAGATATATATATATATACGTAAAACTTGTTGAAAAGAAAGCATTAACGCTCTAATAAAGAATTTGAGACGCCTGATAAAATCGCTGATTGTTGGATAATGTAACGTCATTGCGATGCAATCTACTCGCGTATCGTAAGTAACGTAACTATTGATATTAATTTTTTCACAAAAAGTCAAAGATGTCGGATGCCAGAAACGTAAAAAGTCTTGTCGATGAAGGAATAACTAGTTTCCAAATCGTTCGTTCGAGACGAAACACGCGCGCAAAAGCACGCTTAAAATTCGTTGATTTATTCGTCTGGCGGTGGTCCATTTCGCGGTAATTTTCCTGCTTGGAATTTATCTGATAGGTGGCATTAAAACGCGATCGAGCGGTCTCGTGGTTATTGATCAACGTGATTGAAATATTTATAAAATCCAAGGAAATTCGCGATCGACCTTTCCGAACGAAATCACTGCCCTCGTGTCGTCGCCGTGGCAAATTCTAAGGTGGCCTGAAATAAATGTCCGTAGGCGTAGTAAGCACGAGCAAAGCCCGCTTGCACGTAACATAACGTGACGTAGTCCCATGAAAGTCCTCGTTATGGGGATTTGGCGAGCCGTCTTCCCGTTTAAATATCATTTCAAACGGCTATAATACGTTGCATGACGAAGAGAAACACGATAATAACACGTGCAGAACACAGGAACCAGAGCGACGAATAAACGGAGACGAGACCTTGAAGTGCATCGCGGAAGCTTAAACGTCTAAAGAAATGGGCAGAGTAGGGAGAGAGAGAGAGAGATGTGGAGAGGGCAAACTGAAGGAGGGTGAACTCGGAAAATCTGGCAAAGATTACGGAACATTTACCACATCACGGTCCATCTACCTTTTCGTTTGTCACCGCGTATCCACGGTGGTATCTAACGACGACCATTCAAACTACCTCCGTCACAA